AGAGAGAGAGAGAGAGGAGATCTCGTTGCGTTGGTTACCGTATATAAATATATAATTGAAGGAATTTGTCAAGTGCACGCATATTACATATTCCACAAAACGCAATGCATTTTTATTTAAACATTATGCACGGGTCAGTTGCAGAAACGCTAATTTGGTTGCAGCAAACCAATCAACATTCGTTTCCACAGCCAATCACGAACAGGGTTGGAAAAATTTTCAAAAAAAAAAACAATAGAAATTAATTCAATTAATCCTTTAGTCTTTTTTTCTCTTGTTGTTGTCAGAAACACACACACACACACACATTCGTTTATAAAATTCATTAAGTTTATCATTTGATCCCATTTAATACTTTAATTACGTTCAATTGAATGAGATAATGCTAACAACGGGATTAGTTTAGGATTTCGATAAAATACATATATATATTTAATTATTTTATTGCACTCGCTGTTTCCATTCATTTGTTTTTAATCAATGAAAATCGCTTCGCTTTTGTCATCCACTTTAAACTTTACGTTTTTTTTGCTTTTGTTTTAACAAATGACAATTTCGTAATTTGACAATTAGAGAATTTGAAACAAACGCGTTACGAGACAAAAGCATCCAGAGAAACGATTATATGCGAAACAGTTGAAAACGCAGCGAAATGATATTAATTAATCAATCAAGTGGGAGAGATTACGAGCGAGCCAGTGAGTGAGTGAGTAGTGAGTGTGCTTGTGTTTGATAATTTGAAAAATATCTAATCTTTTCGAGTGTGCGAGTGTTATAACAACAACACAAAATATATATATATACAAACAGCGCGAAACGACTTTTCGAGTGGGCCACTAATTAAAACAACAGAATAATCCACAGCAACGGAAACATTAACAACAAACAAAGGAAAACTTGGATTTTTCGAAACAATGTTGTCTTGTTTGTTTGTTTGTTTTGTTTTAAACAGTGTAAATAAAATATATGTGCGTGACGTGAGGGGGCGCTACATGTTCGATGACCCGTGACCCCGATGCCACCAGTCATCGAGATTACGAAACTAGGATGATGATGATGTTCGAATCGAGATGTCCACAATTACATTTCTTTCTTGATTATTTTCTTCTTCTCCTTCTTGTTACATTTCTTAGATGATAACAAAGAAAATTTATTTTTTTCGTCCAATCCAGTTTCCGCTCATTACCATAGTTACGTGAAATAGTGGCATCGTCGAAATAGAAACAATGAAACCATAGTTACGTAATATGACAATTTAGTTGTCAATTTGAAGCGGTTCGATTGATTTAGAGTGCGGAAGCAGTTGGAAATCACGGATAATTACAGAACGTGTGAAAATCGTGTGTGTGTGTGTGTGCAAAGTGACAATGCATTTGTGAATGCGATGACTAAACATAATAAACCGAAACGAACGTGTAGTAGTGTAGTGTAGTTAGTTAGCAACATTGCTGGAATACTTTTGTGTGCGAGAAATTTTCCATTATAATGATTCGAATTTTGATAATAATTTACAATTTATATTGTTTGATTAACATTAACTTTATTATAATTACAATTGCAATTGCGAAATGTCAATCGCATTAGTTTTGGAAATTTTATACATATAATTACGCAGTTTTAATTGGCCGTTCCGGATTTAATGTGAAACGAGGCAAAGGAATTCGTTTACGTTGCAAATAAAAAAAATATATAATTAATTAATTAAATTAATAATTTTCATATTATTCGTTTTAATTAATCAAATTCGTTTAATCATGCACGCATCGAAACAGACGAAAAGACGAAACAAACGAATTCGATAAACTTTTTTGTTTTTTTTAGTTGCTAATGATGAGATGTCACGCAAATTGCTTTCGTTTTTTGCTGTTGGTATTGCAATTTACTTAATGTAACCATGGAGACAAAATAAAAAAACAATATTGACAACAATACTAATACAATACTAATTTGATTACGTCCATATCCGTGTCCATGCTCATCACATGATTGTAGATGCAAATTAAAGATAAAGTTATGATCATTCTAATAATATACACTGTTTAGTTGGAAAATTGGTGTCTGGATGGGTTGTAGAAGCAAATTAAAGATAGAACTGTCAAAATGAGTGCGGTAACAAACCGGATACGAAACAGTTCGAAAACAAATGGTTTCAAGTTTTTTTTTTTGGGGGGGAAATCCAGTCGATATTCGTTTGTTTTTCGATAATTGCTATTTAATTGCAGCATCCAATATTTTTTTCCCTATTGCTACTTTTCTACGTAATCATGATAATCATCGTCGTTCTTGGAAAGTTTACGGGCGCGGATTTTTTTGGAGAAAGTCTCTTTCTCAAACAAACGAACGGACGGACGTCGTGTGTTACGTGTACGGGTTTTGGTTTTCTGACCTCGCGTTTGCAATTACGTTACGTAGCCGCCTTTTTTTTTTGTTTCTTTCTTCGTTTGTTTGTTTGTTGATTTTTTTTGTTGGGGGGCGCGAGAAACAATTAAAAATCGATTTGAATCCGAATCGCGCAGAGCCAACTTTGAAGACACAAAATTATTATTATTAATAATAATAATAATAACCATAGCAACTACATAATTGTAGTGGAATTCGGATTGCGAAAATGCGGTACGAAAATAAACCGGACTTGTAGTGTTGTGTTGTGTTGTTTGCGTGCGTTTCTATCGGATTAGAAAGGAAAACCGTGCTTCTCCTCCTCCTCAAGAGAACTCCAGCTATATATACATTCTTGCTGCTGCTGCAAGTTGCGAGTTTTAATTGCAAAAAACTTTATTGATTTGTAGGAGGAATTACGTTTGGTTCTTTCCCTATCATCACCATTAAAGATACGAGAGACGTAAAGGCACCTCTCGAATGAGATGAAAAGGAGGCTGCTGTTGCTGCTTGTTGCGTTGTATAACACCACCACAACAACAACTATCGCTTAATATAATAATGTATCGGGTTTCTTCTCAATCCAATGCGCGCTTACATTGTATGAAAACTCGTTCTCAGTTCCTTTTATATTGTTATTACGCTTTAGCTTGGACCATTTTATCTGCTTCAAGCCAAATCACGACAACCTACACAATCCATATCTCTCAATTATTATTAATTCACGTTTCATCTAATTACTCGATAACCGTGCACGCCAGTCACCTCATCGAAGATGCAAATCACAAAAACAAAACTGCGACCTTTCCAATAAGCCCACTACCAGCTTCACTTCACGTCACCGTTCTCTTCCAATGAGCTTGCAAAGTTACGTAAGAACAATTCATCAGATGCAAATTTGGTTGCAAACAACGAACAAATTGATTGTGTTCCTGCTTTTGTTTTTATTCTTCTTCTTCTTATTATGTGGTAGCAGTTAATTAATTAAACATGCGAACCCATAAACAATATATAAACAATCTTTGTTTTTTGTTTTTCTTTTTTTTTTTGGTTGTTCGAAATTAAAATTCATGTGAGCGTTTGCGATTTGGTGTGTTCGCTCGAATGTTAATTAGGAGGCGCTGAAGGAAGAGAGAGAAAAACAATTTGAAAGAAAAACAAAATTTTTTTTTCTTTCGCTTTTCTTTTGTACAGATATTATTCTTTGTAGTTTTTCGTTGATTAATATTAATTATTACGTGCATTAATTCCACGCACGTTTGATACAAACACAATGTTCGGTGTTGTATAGGATCGTAAATGTGTGCGGCGCTTTGTACACGAATCTAATCCGTCGTCGTTCTTTCAGTGTTCAGAGACGTTCATCTACGTTTCTTTATAAATAACCAATTGACCAATTTTGTAGGTTGACATTTCTTCAAAAAAATGTTGATATTGTTGCCATGGAAATTGTTGATGAATGTCATTAAACATTTTTATCCGACATAAATTAAATAGGTCATTGGTTACCAATGGAAATGACACATATAAAAGTTGTTTTGTTTTGTAAACAATTGAATGTGTAATTGAAGCTGATTCTATGCATGCAGACCGGATATATTAGGTGCAGAGTGTAATAAATAAGAATGCAGTTGGTATTCGTGTAACTATTAATTATATTGAACCGATGGAGAGAGAGTGAGTGAGCGAGTGAATGCATTTGAATTGTTAGTTATAGTTTATACAATTCTCGCACATCTGCACTTAAAGACTCGTTAAACGATATCATCATCATCATCATCATCATAATAATATGAAGCAAATATTGCTTTCTATTTGTTCAAAAATTAAATCACAATTAATTTGTTACTTTTCAACTGGATTTTAGTCATTTTCTTATGTCATATTTGGTTTTGGTGTTTAAATTAGATTGAAGAGTTGACTCAGTGAAATGCGATGAAACCTTGGAGCGTTTCACCACTACTTCTGTTTTTTTTTGTATATGATCTAATGCTCCTATTTGGAATCATTGCATATTTCATTCAATTTCAAGAAATGGAAAGAAACAAAAGATTTGATTTGTCGATGCAGGGACTTTGAGAGTTTCGATTGTGGTATTGGACGTAATACTGATAATAATAATAAGAAGAAGAAAGTCGTTACTGCACGTGCCCCCTTTTATTTAGTGCATAGTGCGTGGGATTGTTGTTGATGGATGAGGAAGACTAGTAGTAATAGTAGCAGCAGCAGTAGCAGTAAATGATGTGATTCGTAATTTGGAGGTGATGGTGGTGGTGGGGTCATCATTATTACCATCTTGATCATAAATGCAAGAGTACGTACGTACGGGTCGAGAGAAATGCCCAAACAACAATTAGAGAACGAGAAGTGGAGAGAGATGGACGTCGGAGATAAGAGGCGACGGTGACCAACGAAGGAGGAAGAGGTTGGTGGAGGGGAACACCTCACTTGTGGTTGACCTTGAGGACGAAAATAAACTACACACACACATACACACTAACAACTAACCAACTAACGAAGCAACCAACTGACTTAAGTAACTAGTGTATACATATATTACATATCTATCTACATACTCGCTCGCTCGCGCACTACGTCAAGTTTTGTCATCGTCGACTTACCACCATGTGTTTGGAAACGAACACGACGTCTGCGGCGTCGCCTATCCTCGCAGCACCTCTGGATCTAAGGAATCCTCTGCTGATGCTGATTGCTTTATCACGATTTATCCGGATCAAAGTATGAAGAAGAAGAAACGGAGCACGAAACAACAGTAGTAAGAGGAGAGAACTCGCGCAAAGATTCCGCTGCTTCTCGAAAAACAGTTTCACTATCCGCGCACATCCACGAACATCACGTGACGACGACTACTACGATGATGAAGATGATGATCGTGTTGTTGTTGTATTATTATTACGATGATGATGATGATGATTATTAGTGTGTAGTGTGTGTGTGTATTACCACCGTTTAAGGAGAGGATAGGAGAGGTCCTCCTCTCTGGAAAGGAAGGAAAAGAAACAATAAATGTCGCGTATGCTGAATCTATTTTTAACACTTATTTGTACGTCGGGGATAGTAGATAACAAAACACGCCTCAGAACCAATCGGAAAGTTTTCGTCTTGCTCACTCGCACTCACTCACTCCTCCCCCTAAATGCTCACTGGCTCCTATCCGACCGACCGACTCGCTCTCTCTCTCTCACACACTCTCCTCAACTACCTCCTTCTCCTACTATCGTCCACACTCTATATACTATATAGTATGTATAGTATGCAAAAGCACCTTCGACGACTTGAGCGCAAATTAAGTAAGAGCGGATGGATGGATCACTCGAAGCGCACTTTCTACGTGGTGCGTTGGTCGTTTTCACTTTTCCTCCTGCGGCCCTTTACCTTCTTCCGCACCACCAATCGCAAAACAATCATTCGCTCTGAAGACGTTGCTGCTGCTGCTAGGTGTATCCTCCAGAGCGGCGCTCTTATCACTGATCATGTGTAAACAGCTCTAATTTGCGTCTCTTCTCCTCCTCCTCCTCCTCCTCCTTCGCAACAACTCTTCTTCTGCTTCTCTCACCAGCACTTTCACTGCTACTGCTGCTGCAACTATTACATATATTTGTATGTAGTCTTAAGAGACACGTAGATGTTGAATTTGTAAAGAGATGTACAACACCAGACACACGCACAGACAAGCAAGATCTCCTCCTCTCGCACTGCTCAGCTATTCTGGGCTCTTGGTATGTGTGAGTAAGTGTGTGTGCGCGCTGCTCGCCGGACTCGTCTTACCTCTATCTACTCATACAACTACTGAAGCTGAAGCAGCAGCAGCAGCAGCGGAGCGGCCCACGACGAATCGCATCGCATCGTTCGTGCGTTAGCGCCAACCAGCCTGTTGCTCGCCGAACCGGCCTTTCGAAAGTACTCGCTCGCATTCCACAGCATATCTGTACATTCCTCACCGTCAGCGACATCTATTCGTTTTCCGTTCGAAGCGAAACGATGGTTTCACGCTACACGCAGCGTCATCTGCCGGAACGCGCTACCCAACTAAAAAAAACAATGACAGAATTATAAAACAGAGTCACCTCTTCTTTGTCTCTCGACAACTTACCAACAACAAATAAAACTAATTTAGGTAATGAAATCAGATAAAATGAAGATTTTCTTTTCACAATAGTATTCATATACATATATATATTTGTTTCATCGAGGAATAACATCAAGTTTATAATATATTATATATTTTTTATATAGTTGCGGGTGTATATTTAATTCTCTCTAATAAAACATGACTTATATAAATATACCGAGTGATTCTCTATAAACTTGAATGTCATTCAATGAAACACCCGGTATCTATCTTCACCTTTCAACAAATCTCTTCTATTCGAATATCACACGATAATAACCATTCCCATCCCATTTCTCACCTATTCCTTTCCATTTTTTTCATAATACTATTTAAATATATTATTTATGCAATCAGTCTATTCGGATTTTAAATCCATCCATTGACTAGAACTGGTATCACTTACATGTATACCCCCGGTGATTTCCACACCAAGAACAACAACAACAACAACCAACCAACAGAAATATACCAACTATTACAAAAATAAACTTAGATTATGGGTTCCGCTGTTGGCGTGGTGATCTTCAGCAGCGGAGTAGAGTCGACGACCCACGGAACGACCTCCTCGCATTCGGGAAACTTCGAGAGGACCATATCCAATTCCTCCTGATGTCGAGGACTCGAAGGTGCGGAAATTGTTTGAATCACGTGGAATCTCGGGACGCTGAGGCAATGCCTCAAGCTCGGCACCGAAGCGCAAGGTTTCTGCCTCCGAGTCTGGACAGTTTTCGTGGTGTCATCTCTTCCGCCGAGCAACGACAGTTGGAATTGGGCCAAAGTTGCTGTCGAATTGGCAAGATTCTCGATGCATGGACAGGACGTGCTCGACGTCTTCCAATCGCTGCAGCATTCCAGCGAGTTCTCCATCAGCGAATTCGCACTCTTCTTTATCGGACTGTCATCGGCGATCGCTTCCAGTGTTCTGGTGCTCATCATCCTGTACTCGAGGTTGTCACCGCTCGCGAATCTCAACCTCTTCGGCGATTCGAAACTGGAGCATCTCGGAATCGGACTTCTAACTATACTATTCTTGTTCTTCAGCGAACTCCTCGGCAGAACGCAATGACCGTTCGTATCGTTGCCTTTAACCGATCTTCCGCTGCTCGAAGCCCTTCGATTCTCGCGCTCCGTTCTCCTCAGATTCCTCATAGCTTCGTCTTCGCCGATGAGGAAGAACGTCTTTTGCTCTCCTTTTCCCTTCATGCAGACCATTCCTCGTTCCACCAGATGATAACCACCTAGTTTCGTCAGCAGAGCCTCGCACTGTTCGCTGCAGTGGATCTTCAACGCTGCCAACATTATTAGAAATTCAAATTAAAACCAATTTACATTGCTAACTCTGCAGCAACTCACCCACACCGGACGATTCCATTCGACTTGCCGTGTTCACCGTATCTCCGAACAGGCAATAGCGTGGCATCTTCAGACCTACCACCCCCGCACAAACGGGCCCTATAAAAAAACGAACACACTTAACACCGCGCATTTACTTACAACACACACAACTCCCAACTGACCTGAATGTATCCCTATACGCAACATCAACTTCTCCTTCGGTCTATGTCTTATGATAAAGTTTTTCACTTCGGCGAGCAGATGCAGGGACATCGTAGCAACTTCGGCTGCGTGCTGAATGTCGTTCCGTATGGGCAGACCGCTCACCTGAAACACATTTCGTTTCTTTTATTTTCATTATTATTATTATTATGCGTTTTCAAGCAAAAGGTATTGCCCCGAGTGAGGCTCGAACTCACGACCTTAAGATTATGAGACTTACGCGCTGCCAACTGCGCCATCGAGGCTATAAAACCCTAAAAAAAACTACCAAATTCGCAAACAAAAAAAAAACAAACCAAAACAATTTACAATTGGTAACTTTACATAAATGCAAAGAAATTGAACGTAAAAAATATTCAGATTGTTTTCAAGCAAAAGATAATGCCCCGAGTGAGGCTCGAACTCACGACCTTAAGATTATGAGACTTACGCGCTGCCTACTGCGCCATCGAGGCTGTAATAATTCTGACGTTTAAACATCTGATAGTTGCCAAATGACAACACTAATTAGGCTGCAATCCAATTACAATAACGATTTAATTGTTTGCTGTTTATTTTTAGATGTTTGAATTTTTTATGTCCCGGCGCATCCACCGATTTTGTTGATGTTTACAAGGTAGCGTGGCCGAGCGGTCTAAGGCGCTGGTTTAAGGCACCAGTCTCCTCGGAGGCGTGGGTTCGAATCCCACCGCTGCCAACTACTTTTTTTCTTTTGCTAGAAAATATCATCATTGTGCAATTTGTTTTATGCAACCCAATAAAAAACCATTTCTGAGATTAACATCGATTTACGACTATCATAAAAATGGAAGCGTCTGTATTCGAGAGACGGCATTGTCCTTTTTGTTTGCATTGTACGCATTGTATTATTATTATTGTACGCACCCCACAGATTATCACCACCGTTCACAAATGGCGCTGTAAACAGGGAAACAAACAACGCACTTGTACCCGCATAAACGAAACAACTGAAAGATTTACAGCACCCTCATAAACTACCAAATAGCTGCTACCTGATATATCCAACGTATACCTGCATTTTGTACACTTGACTTCAGTCATAAAGATACGGTTCTCGCATTGATTTATATTAAAAAAAATGTTTTTTCATTAACTTTGATTTCTATGGTTTCTCCATCTAGTGTTTTAATTCATAAATTATTTCATGAGGGCAGAGGCGTATTCAGGATTTTTTCGAAAATATCAGGTAGCGTGGCCGAGCGGTCTAAGGCGCTGGTTTAAGGCACCAGTCTCTTCGGAGGCGTGGGTTCGAATCCCACCGCTGCCATCAAATTTTGATTGTCCTCGTGAAAAAATTACACAAACAATGCAAACGTTCAAAACACATCGACAATTATGTTGCGTTGCAAGTTCAGCAACTGTTAAAGTGATCGAGTTCAATTGTTTAAAAGATAATGCCCCGAGTGAGGCTCGAACTCACGACCTTAAGATTATGAGACTTACGCGCTGCCTACTGCGCCATCGAGGCTGTGATAACTCTGACCTTTATACCTTTGACAGTTATCAGATTAATATCAATAGTACCTTAATTAGTTAAATTATTAATATTTACTAAAACCCGACGCATCCACAAAGTGCGTCATCAAGTTTGTGTTGTCAAGTAACGTTGTCAGGTGTAACGTAAATTACGTAATTGGTTGCTAGCAGTTACTGTTTACTTTTAAATGTTGGTGACAACCGGCGCATCCACCGATTTTGCGGATGGTTACGGGGTAGCGTGGCCGAGCGGTCTAAGGCGCTGGTTTAAGGCACCAGTCTCCTCGGAGGCGTGGGTTCGAATCCCACCGCTGCCAGAATAATTTTACATTTACTATACACTACAAGCCCTTAAAATCTAATCGAATTTAAAAGATATTCTTCAAGTTTAGTTTCTTACCACCATGTAGGCATCGCCGATTGTCTCAACTTTGTAGACGTCGTAGTTTTCAATGATGGAATCGAAGCAAGTGTAGAGATCGTTGAGAAAATCGACAACCTGGAAACAAATTTATAATGTATAAATAAACAAGTAACTTAGCAACCAATAAATTATTTTTAGATTACACACCTGAAGCGGAGTGCTTTCGGCGGACATCGAGGTGAATCCGACGATGTCGCTGAAGTAGATCGTCACCGAGTCGAATCCCTCAGCTTCAACTTTATTGCCTCTCTTCAGCTGCTCAGCCACTGGCCTCGGTAACATTTCGTAGAGCAAAGCCTCTGGATGGAGGAGATAAAAAGGAAAAAGTAAATAAATAAATAAATTAAGAAGATAGGAGAACTTATAAATATGATTTAATAAGTAATATGTTTCGTTGGTCTGCGAGGAGAATATTAGAAACGAACTGATTTATATGCGCCCTCGAGATTGCGGACGACGCAACGCACACGCAATTCGTTTAAAATTCCTTCCGCATTCCTTCCTTCCCTCGCACATCACATGATTTACAGCGGAACGCGAATAAACGTCAACAAGCCCAAACGTACAAAAAAAATAATATATAAGAAGAAGTGGAAACCATGGAGATAACAAAACAAACAAAAAATGATAATAATATCGTTACGGACCTGTCTTTTTCTTTTCCTCTTGCAGTTGATCCGTGCGCTCGTCGACGAGCACCTCCAAGTTGTTGGCGTACTTCTCCATCATTGCCATCATGTTGTCGAAGATGTTGGGTTTCCTGCGATCATCATCATCATCGGTTATTCCGTAATCGGTTAAATAATGATTGTCTTGAATTGTCTTACATTCCTTTGCGCAGAGGTCGAAGCTTCGTTCGGATCATCTTGAAGTCAGGTCTGAGTTCGGGATCTTCGGCCCAGCACTCCTTGAGGCAGTCCCTCACGAAATCGAAACTGTTCTCCAAGGACTCCAGGGGTGGCCTGGATAACAACAAATTTATTATGCCGCAAACACGGATTAGTACGCTCAACCGCCCACCCTCGTTCCGCACCGATTAATGCCATCCCGACGGCGATTAACTACAAATCTCCGTCAGGATGTGTTGTCTCCCTTTCTCTTAAGGACAAAAGTTGCGAATGTGAAATTTTCAAAAAAATAATATATTGACCGGAAAATAATTGAAATTATTGTTATCGCTATGACGACCTTTGAGAGAAACAACTGTTACAAGGTGAAACAAATTCATTTTATCTAACCTGAATGGAGCGGTGATGTTTCTGTGTATGATCCTGTTGAGGATTTCGGCGGCGGAAAGACCGATCTCTCCGTAGGGCCCGTGACGGCTGTGCAGCTCGTAGAGGATGATGCCGAACGAATAGACGTCTCCTTTCTGGGTGCCACCTGGCGGATTGCTGGAAAGGTATGAGTCGGTGAGTCTGAGCAGCTCCGGCGCCCTATAGAGCAATGCTGAAACATGTCGATTCAATTAATTTGAGTCAGTTCGCTGCAGTTTCTAACTTCGACTCACTGCGACATTTGTCCAGAATTCGATTCGGGTCTTTCAGACCGGGATCCTCGGCGTCCTTCTTGAACTCTCTCAACCCGAAATCCGACAACTTGACAACCCATCTGGAATCGACGAGGCAGTTGGCCGTGTGCAGAGCTCCATGGAAACGAACCGGAGAGTCGTGCAGATAAATCATACCCTGCATCAACAAGAAAATAAACAATATTTTGACATTCGTGTCAAATTCACAAATTGATGAGTTGATACAAATCTTTAAAAATCTGTAATTAAAGGTTAATGGATTAATTTAATTGCACGTAAAGTTGCATAATTGATTCACACACCGAAATTGCTAATTAAATTTAAGGGCGCGAAAAATTATGGTCGTCGCAGACATTAAGAAAAAAGAAAAGAATAAAGAGCGTAATTACGAGAACATCGCACGTACTCTTATTAATGGCTCTCTGTTTCACACTAACCAGAAGCACAAAACGAAAAAGGACACACAATTAAACATAAAAAAAAGGAGGAGAAACTAAGTGCAATTTCCATTAATTGTACAAATAATTTAAACAGTTTATAAACTACTCGCAGATGAACATCTAACCTACATTTCGTTAGTTAGTTATTGAAGAATATGTTAGTAGTTTGTTTGAAAGTGCAGAGTTGTGTTGAAAAAGGTCAAGAATAATTTGCATATATTCGCTTGATTGACGACGCGGCAGCAATTTGCAGAATTTAATGCAAGTGCATGCACATACTATAAATATTTGCCGCCGCAGGATTTAATCCGGTTTCCACCGAAGGAAAAAGCATAAAAGAGAATAGAAGTGGTTGCGGAAGAGAAGATTGATGATGGGGGGTGGGCGTTGTTGTCTCTTCGATTTTATAGTTCCCGGTCACATAAAAGTGCGCTTAATTGCAACCAAGTCAACGGTTTTTATTGCCGCTTCGTCCATTTATTAATAACCCATTTACGGAACAAACTTCCTTCCGCACTCCGCAACTGAATCCAACTTTAAATGTCGACGAGCGATTCAATTATTACTTGGTTTGAACTAAATTACAATTGTAAATGGCAATAGTTTTCATATTTAATTCTTTCGACAAATTATAAAAATAAATCTACTTTTACTAGTTTAATTACTAGATCAGACACTTTAAACGGATTATACGTGGCGGATGAGCCGGGTTAATTTAACTTTTGATCCCCCGTTTCCACATCAACTTCCTTTGACCCCGTCCGTCCGTCCGTCCACTATCTAAATTGCATCCTTGATTCGCGTGTCATGTTTCGTTATTTGTAGTCTTAGTTACCAAATTTTGTTGTACATAATCGATGGATTACCATTCTTTTGTTTGTGTAACGATGGCAACAAAATTGTTACAAATGGGCGTGCGCTTGATTGAAGTGCGCTAAGTGAAAACAAAAGCGAAAAAAAAAAAACTGGTGCCGGAAAGGCCGTAACGATGATGATGCTACATATATATTATATATGGACGTAGAGAGAGCTGATTTTGTGTTTTTTGTGTGTGGTTGGTTATGTACTACATCATATTTTTGCAGCACGCACGCGTCTGCCTCGGAGAGGCTACGATGATTAAGCGATGTCCGTTCAATATTTTTTTCACCCGAAAAACCCCAATTTTAATGATTGATGGATTTAGTTTAAGAGTGGATGCAAAAGACGAGGCCGACGACGCCGTTCGATTTATTGAATATTCGCAAGAAATAATTATTAAAAAAAAAATAGATGCACTCACCCTTAAAATATCGCCGACGAGGGAGGCTATGAACATGTTGTCCAACTTGACGTCTTCGTTCTCCAGGATATCCTTCAAGCACATCAGTCAAAATATCAAATTTAATTGCAACGAATTAAACAGATGGCGTGCGTACCTTGAGACTTCCCCGGGTGCAGTACTCGGTCACGATGCAGATGTTCGGCGGATCCGTGCAGGCTCCGATGAAAGCGTTCAAATTGTCGTGCCTCAAATCCCTCATCTGCACATGAACAAATAAACAAATAGAATTACACAACACTCAAGTATTTATCCAATTTAAGACCATTTTCAGCTCCTTCTTCATGTCCCTGGTAATGTCTATCGACTTCTTATAGACTTTTTTGATGGCAAACACGCGACCCTTGTAGATGCCGATCTGCGTGAAGATGCTCGAGTACCGGAAATCCGCATCCGGATTCGAACTCAGCGACACCTGGCTCGTTCTGATCAAAGGATGGAGCGCCTGCAGCAAACATCAAATTAATATTTAGTTTCCATGGCAATAAGTTCTAATTTCATACACTTTGACGTTTCCCCAAACTTACAGTCTATTAATTAACGAATATGATAATAACTATTATTATTTTTTTTTTTGTAAATTAATACTTCGACGATTCCTTTGTGATGTTTCGTCCCGGCTTCAACTAATTGGACAATTTAATTGGTCTCGTTAAATTAATCACCCGAATAAATCGATCCTTAACTGAACATTAGACAAATCTAACCCACACATAAAATATCTCAGTTTTCATCTGCAAATATATATTTTTTTTGTTTACTTAATTGAATGGAAAAGTTGAATTTTGTTTGCTTGTCTTTCGAGGGTGCGAGGATGATTCAGTTGTTGAAGTTTCGGTGGTGGTGGCAAATGGATTTTGTTTATCCATAACGGGGAGATGCGAAATATTTGCAGAAGGATCGATGAAGGGTGAATGTCGTTAGTTTGCTGAGGAGGACGTGAGTTATTGGTCGCTGCTTATTAACTTTACTGAATAAGCGTGAATTTAGATATTTTTTGTTGGAAAATTAACGTACCCTTGTAATTTTCGTTCCTAGGCAACTGGCGTTTGGCTCATCGTTGATCTGAATCTCCCTGAAGTCCACCTTCCACAGAAGACTGTCCAATTCCTGCTCGTACCGCCAATTCCTGTAGAAGATCAGAGCGATGATGGCCATCACGAAGAACACGCCGCCCGTGATTCCGTACATAATCTCCGCCGTGTGAGCTGTCAACAACAACAACAATAACAACAACATGACAACAACAAAACAAAACAAAGCATAGTTACAGATGCATTTTTCTCCACGGAATCCGCACGGTGGCACTGCTATCGGCGGCGCTCCGGCGATCCAATCGATGTCTTCCACCAATTGCAACAACTGAAACGAAACAATTACACGAATGAATGACAGATGGTTGACAATTCAAAAAAAAAAGGAAATTTAAAATACGTTTCGCGTCAGAGTTATGTGACGTTTGCGATGATTGAAACAGAAAAGGAAAAAGAAATCGATTTCGCAGAAATAGAAATAAGCTGAATATGTGGAAAAAAAAAAAAATTGCGATCGCTGACCGCTGCAGAATGGCTCGTATGCTCTTTTCGAATCGAAAATGCGTGCGATGATCATGTCTTTGATAGTGTTAGGAGCTGGACTTTTCGGAGTAAGATTATTAATATCATTTAATGAAAAGTGGTGATGATTGATATACTTTTTATTGTAAGGGCGTTCTCAGCGGACCCATGGGCGGTATACCCACGCAGCAGGAGCAGGCCGACGTTCTGAGCAATGTGCAGGAGGTGTTCGAGAAGGTTAAGAAGATGGTGGACGAGGAGGGAAGGACGACGGACATGTCCGTGGTGGCGGATACGAGGAGGACGGTCAAGAGAGCGCAGGACGCGCTCTCACTCATCGAGGAGATGGCTTTGATAAGTGAGTTCCCTTGGAAACGGTTTGTACGGTTTGCCACGATTTCTTTGTTTTATGCGCAGAGGTGATGTGTCTGAGCAGCGAGAATTCGGTGCAGTTGGCTTCCGCAACGAAGGAGCAAATCCAGAGGTCCATTCAGGAGGGTCACGAGAAATTGGACGAATGCACGGAGAAGGTGTCGCACGAGATTCAGGCGAGTTCGGAGCGCGTTTTCGACGTCGCCTCCGCCGCCACCAATCGAGGTCAGAGCCTGCTCGATTCGATGACGGAATGCACCACCAAATCAAGTATAATCAATTACAACAGTCACAAACAAACAGTCTTTCATTTTCGTTTGTAGCTTTTCATCAGATCACCTGCTACAGGAAGATCATGACGACGGACGTGTTTCCTGTTAAAGAAATGCTACTGGCAGCAATAGATTCGCACAAAGTGGGCCACTCCAAGTCCATAGACATCAGAAACAGGGCCAACGATTGCGTGGACGAAGTGCTCGACAATTACCAATCGAAAGTTGCGACGATTCTCAGCAAAGCCATCCAATAAACTATCTTTTACATTTCTTTAAACAATTGAAACTTTTTCTTACCGGTAGTTTCGAATCGAAGCTCCTCAGCGTGAAGACGCCAACCGGATAGAGACCGAATCGTTCTGCCGCCGACGATTTCGTGGTGGTCGAATTGAGACGGGCCCTGTTCCTCTTACTCACGATCTCCTTTAGGTCCGTCCTTCCTGCCAACGGCTTGCGCGCAATCAGCGTGTAATTGCCTTCGGCGTCCCCATTCTCATCCATGTACACCATATATCTAATACCAAACAAATTGCACCACTCAAATCAAGACTTATCTACAAGCTTCCACGACCGAATCTCTGTTAGATTTAGTTTTATGCGATTTATCTTTTCAAAAACAACAACAACAACAACCACTTTAAGGAAAGATGAATTGCAAATGATGTCTCACAACAAATTCCAATTCAATTTGCATTTCTCAACTAAGATTATTTTGTTAAAGTTAATAAACTTACCCCATGGCGCTCTTGTAGTGCGTCTCCTTGATGGAATCTATGATGGCTGTGCCGTTCCTCGGATTCCCTCCGGATTCCAGGACCGTCATCAGGGCGCGCGCGTACAAGTGCACCGCATCGTACAGGTAGGCTGCACCCGCACGAATCTAGTTTAGTCAAAATTGGCAAGTTTAAATAGATATGACGTTTGTTAACGAAAACTTACGATTTTCCCTGCGTTCACGCCTAAATGATTCAACGGATTCGAGAAGTTGAACGGTGGCTTTTCCAGGTAGGTGTTTACGAGCACCGCGAAATTTTCGAAACCCACCGGACTCGACGGCACCACACCGATGTAACTCTGGAAGGCGGTCTGAGCGAACGGATCGTACTCCTCCGTGAGGAAGCTCTGCAGGTACATGGCGGGATTCTTCTGGTTGTACTCCTCGATGTCCACGCCGATCACAAAATATTCCCCTGAAAGATTGAATCTCTATGTTTATTTTATTGTTTGTTTTTTTTGCACCCTATTTCCGCTTCATTTGCAATGGTGATGGGACACGAGAAGGAGAGGAGGTCAAAAGAAAATAATAAAGGTTGTAACAAGGCCGGATATATTTGTTTGTGCGGAAGTTTCGGTAGGCCAATAAATACGGTTTCTGACCAGCCGAACGCTAATGCCCTGGGGGTTGCAGAGCAGGAAGCCGCTGGACACCGAGGGTTAATCCGGGGGAGGAGGGGGGTGGGGACAACAGAGGATCGGAATATCAAAGGGCTTTTGTACCACAGAAACTGGTCACAAACACACACAGATAATGATCAAAAGCGATCTCTTTCGGAAGGAGAAAATAAAGCGTATTAACGTCATTCGTAATCCGTCAATGGAAATTGCATATGCAAATTGCATCTCAATTCTATGCGTATTTGGTGACTAACCTTTTTCGAAAAGTTTCCTCGCCTGCATCGCGACCATCAATTCCAGATGCTCGTAGTGGTGACCCAGGATGACGTAAACTGAAAACAAAAAACATAAGCAACATGAAACAAAAGATACTCAATGAGATTTTGTGTTTGCGTTTTTATTTCCTTTTGCATGCAATTTAGGAAATTGTTATTAAATTTCACCCCTCATTATTTCAGCATGTGAGGATAAAAATTGCTTTTGCTCTCGTTATATAAGCGACGACAGCGACAGAAATGTAAACAAAGGGGATTACATGAAGTTAAAAAGAAAAAAACATATATTACATAAAGGAAATTCGTTTATGTTTAACGTTTACTACAGCAGATTTCATTTGTTTAGAAGCCGGTTTAGTAAGGTTGGCAAGGGAGAATTTAAATGTAAAAACGCGTTCACTTCCGGTTAATTTCGAATACAATAGGGGAATTATGATTGCGTCTCCTCTCTTCAATTCTCCTTTTCATTCCTTCTTTTTTTTATGCAACACACTCAGCGTGTGCATCCGAACTCTCCCTTGTATTCACGCGGTAATTGCGTCAACCGTAATCTGTTTGCGTCACGTCAATTAAAAGCACAGTTCAATTGGATGGATTTACTTTTTCTTTTCATCTCTCTCTCTCTCTCTCTTTCAATTTCTTTACGGGAATCAAGAGTGGAAGAGGCGAAATGGAAAGGGACAGCAAATATCGATGGAATTTATTTGCGTCGTCGTATAAAATACATACATGAATTTTCGGATTGGAATTCGACAAGAATATGTACGAATCCAAGATTGCTGCGAGTTTCGTGTGTGTGTGCACAAAGAGAGATGGGGTGGTGTGAGGTGGTGGTAAACAGACTCGGCAAATCATTTCGAATATTATTGAATTAGGTACATCTCCAACGAATACGGAAAAAGCAATCTTCTCATCTCGAAACGAAACAAATATGTACGAAATTGCATACTGACTGAAATCGCATTATATATTTGGTTGCATACGATAACCCGAATTCAATTTAAGCGCCATCTCACCAATTTATTGATAACTGAACTTTCGCAGAAATGTATTCGTCAAATAATATTTGGGACGCGAAGCGATAAAGGGAAACAACAACAACAAACGATTCTGGAATTTTATTTCGCAGAAACCTGCGGTAAATCATACTGCTGTCGCGAGTAGTTTCAATTTAGTGGGGAGCCCGATTTGAATCCACCACGCTGTTACATAAAGCATAGAAATGTTGAAGAGAGTAGAGAGCACACACACACATTCCGTTCTAAATTATTCGCTTGGTGGCCTAGTTTTATGATCGGACAGGAAAATGTGCATATATGGGATATATACGGAAGTTCCTCTTATTCGTGACAAATTGAAATAACTTTGTGTGCGCAAAACTATTTACTACTGACAGTTATTGTCATTCTTTTAAGCATCAAATCTCTATGACTTGACACTTGAGTATGACATATCAAATGTCAGAGTTGATATTTGATTAATTGGGTTAATAAACATACATAGTCGGATAATAAAAATTGCAGCATCGGCGGTGTAACGAAACGTGTCTTTTATGATTCACTCGGTCGCAAAAATGAATCGAACATGTTCAGTTTCAGTTCCATAAAGTATGAAAAACTTTACTGGGTAACATTTTTATTTTCCCCGTTTCTTCTTTTGTTCCCTCCTTTACGTGCCGACACTAAACACGTTTTTATTTCTTTTCCCCACCTACCAACCCACGAAAAAAAATAAAAAAAACTTCCGACAGTAAAAGCAAGGAATAATACGATTATAATAGCTCTCCGATGTTCTGGCGAGAGCGAGGAATAATCCAGTTTGAATGCGATTTAAAAACGCGCGACCCGGAAAAATAGTTCAATCATAAATTGAAATTAAGTGAAACTTTAGTTTTTATGTTACGTTCAACCTAATTTCGGTTAGAATGCCAACTTAAAACTATGTTTAGTTACATAATTGACAGATAAATTACCAACTACGTAATGAAATGAGCAACAAAATGTGGATGGGCTGCGTGTGGCGTTTGATTGAGGAGGTCAAAGTTTGCAGTGTTCTGAGATGTGCTCTTTTCGTATTAGATGTGGATGATGATTTATCGCCATTGTTTGCTCCAATTTTAGTCGGTTGGCTAACCTACATCTGCCCCTGCAACGAAGCTGATTACGTTCGGTCGTACCAACAGTAAATAACGGGAACAGTAGACGAAAGAAACTAGGAAGTGCAGGCGCAATATTTACGAGCGGCCGATTCCAACGTAATTAATTGCTCAAATCCAGCGGAAAATTATTTGTTCACCGGTCCCAATATCAATATATATATATATATATATACGGGGAAATGGGTGATTTATCGTAGATATTTGGCCCGTTGCCAGCATCTTGATAATCAATTTAGTTATTACAGAATTACCAACATTAGTTTACCCCCTATATGTATAGGCATGATAATTGAATTATTTAAAAACTACCAAAGTTTAATTAAGTTGGTAACTCACTTCTGGTGTCAAGGTAGGTATCCTCTACCAACTGATGGAAAGGATTCTCCATGTTGTATCCGGTCACGTGCATGTAGGCCGTATTCCAAGACCTGCTGGCGATTACGTTCACCCCGGCGGTGGATAAAGTGTGCAGGATGATTCTGGCGATGTTCCCGTACTCGAAATCGGAGGGATTCGGAGAATCCAAATACAATAATACCACCTGCAAAGAACAATAAATTAATCGTATTATCATTGACGTAAAACTGTATGCAATTTAACATACATCATTAATAAAAAACAATAATCATATAGGCAACTTTACAAACTAATTAAATAATTAATCGATTCTAATCGATTTCATTTAAATAAGATTTTTCACGTTCACGTTAAACAGTTGAAAAACGTTTACTCATTTATAGGAAATTACTCACAATTTAATAACGAATAAATTGGAATCCATATGGAACGTAACAAACATAACTAAATACGTCGAACTTTCACTTTACTCAACCGAACGAACGCTCGATCAGTACTAAGTTCTACAATTCCTTTCTACTCTTCCAATCCCACTCTAGCCCGGATTCAATCACAATTGCACCGATGTTTCTCGACCAATTTTTAAATGTATAGAAATTATTAACTTACGTCTGTCCAATTGAAGTAGGTGAGAACGGAAGCGACGGATTTGGAGATCTGCGTGATCGGCGGTCTCGTCCTCGCGAACGTAGGGAATTTCGTTTTATCAGATGTTTCGTTCGCAGTACAAAACTGAAACAAACAAAAAATTGTTGTATTAATAAGCAATTCAATTCAAATCAAATATTGTATAAGTTGGGTAATTGTGTAATCTGAATCGTGTTTCGAGTACATTTCGAAATCACGTTTTCTTCGCATGATAAGAAATCTGAAAGGTTGGCGCACGCAAACGACGTAAGAGCCAGAGGGGTAACAGAAAATAAATCGCGAGGATAAGGGTTCACGCAAACCAGATTATCGTGTAATTAGCATATCTAATTCGATTCTAAGTAGTTTGTTTATGTTGACTTTGTTGCCATGGAGGCAACGATTTTGTTTTTCTGATAATCCAGGCGCATCCGCCACAATTTATGTTGTTGATGTCGCTATGGCGATAAGACTTACGTATGAGATCATGGGTAGGTTGAAGGCTGCCGCCATGAAGGCCTCGTGCTCGCAGTACTCCTGCGGTCCGATGTAGACCGAAACGTTCCTCGTCCAGAGGTTCGCCGTCTGCTTGACGCTGAGCACGTCCTTCCCGTACGTCTCGGCGATGATGAACTCGAGACTGTGGCCGAGACGTCCCAGTCGACCGGCGTTCACCTCTTCGACGGCCAACGAGATCGCACCGGAAATGGTGAGGCCGTGACGTTGGTACTCTTTGTCGCCGGGTAACCTCTGCGATCCGGTGATGTAGCCCATGGTGAAGACCTCACCGTCGGATTCTCGAAGTGCGCAGAACCACAGCATCGTGCTTAAGATCAGGATAGAGAATCGGCGCCATCTCTGGGTCTGCAAAAAATGGAAAAACTTTTTGATTTAATTTCGTGAATCGCAGCCCCGTTTGTGAGGTTTAATTAACGCGCAATCAACTGCACGGAGAGTTTAATTAATTCAATTAATTAAAAGACGTAAAATTTCATTTCAACGAAGTCTTTTCACCTCCATTACATAACCTAATTAATAGACAAAATTTAACTTATCTTCAATTTCATTACATCGTAAACCCAGCGCATCCGCTCATTCTTCTTTATATAACAAAACGTTTCACTTTATACAATGAAACATTTCACGAAACCACAATCAAACTAAACTACGTAGTAAACACTCATTTTCTTAATGTCAAGAGATATTCGAATGTAAAATGGCGATTACGAATAACAACTTTTGTTTTCAACTTGAAAATGGCGGTTCACCGAAAACAAAAAAAAAAACAATCAAAGCTAATTTGATTTTGCGAAACGATTAAACGAATGAATAATGGCTAATGTAAATTGGAGCGAAGCGAAATAATTAAAGTTGGAAAACGAAAATGCGCGTTTTATCGTCTGCCCCCCCTCCCAACTCGTGAATAACGTTTTATCGCGGATCCCATTGGAATCTTAATAAACAGGTGGGTGCTCAATAAAAGCAGAGAGAAAGAGATCTTTTCCTGCCAAATAGGCATTCGCAATTTGGATCCAGGAAGCTAAATGTACAATAGAAATTGAATAAAAAAAGATAATCCCCGAAGTCGATTTTAATTAGTGGCAGCAGAGCGACGTGTGTAATCCCTCTCTTCGCGTTGCTCCCTTCGTTCAACGTTGGCAGTGAGAGAGAGATAGATTAATTGAAATCTCCAATTAGTTTAGAGATTGGTTCAGACAACGCGTCTATCTTTAATATTGTACGGATCTATCTTTTTTTTTTCTATCTCTTTTGTTTCTACGAAATGGGACAATGCAAATCACCGGTGGCTTTGATTGTACGAAACGTGCGTGTAAGGAGGCTTTGAGCCTTAGGGATGTAGGTTGAAGTGGTGGCGGCGGTAATGGTTAGGTTGGCGGAGGCACTTTGCACGGCGTGAATCTGAGTGTTGTTCGCGGCTTCTCCTTCCGCCTCCGATCCTAGGGGGGCCCACTCAGATCTGAAAACCCACTCGACACCCCTCGCTCACTCACATCTTCTTCTCCTTATCCTCATTCAACCCCTAACTCTAATAGCTTGTTGTTTTCGCGATCTCGTTCGTGTATTTCCTTCCCATACGCACACACGCCACTCTGTAGCTGCTTCATACAGCTGCTAATAGCCAATCGATAGAGTTATTGGAAAAAAAAAATCTGCCATCGCGAAATCCCATTTACCACTTTTTTTTATGCAACGCTTGCTTCAAAATTGTTTCATAACGTCAATGTCAAAAGACGCCATTTCTAATAACATAACCAATTGTCATTCGCCATCTTTTTTTTTAAATGTCAAAATGGCGCTGTTTTGACAAGTCGCTTTGTTTACAGATAGTTCATCAACGTATCTTTAATGTCGTCATTTCCGCTTTCTTCTCGAATCTGATTGGTTGTTTATTTCAAAAGAGAGAGTTCCGTTTATTATTCGTACGTTTCTCTCGCCTAACTAATAGATCAACGGACTTATCGCGCCGTTATTTTCGTCTGTTTTTTTTTCAGCGAAATTTATCTAAATTTTATTCATGGTTTCCATTGTAGTATCATGCTGTATGCTGCGCGCATTCAGGCGAACAACGAAAGAGTGCATGAAAACAAAGCAGGCGAACCAATTACGCAAAAAATGTACAATTTTTTTGTTCTTTGATTACATCAGAAATGGATAGAACTGCAGTTCGGACTGTTGTTGTTTGTTAATGTCGTCAGTTAAATCGATAATTAAATGAAAACATCAAATGGATGAATTACTTATTTCGAAGCAGCAATTTCAGATGTCGTACAGACAGACATCAGCTGGATGGGATACAGAAATGGGGCGATCCGGGTCATGCATTATTCAAAGTGTGCGTACGTCAGTTGTTGTAAACAAGTGATGCAGGGTTTAAAATTGCCGCCTCTCCTCTCTAACTTATTGCCGCCACTTATCCACACTCCATCTATCTATCTGTCTCTCTCGCTCTTTCCCCACACACACGTCACGAAGAAGAGAAGAGAAAAAGATAACACGATGGACGTGCAAGCTCTCCAAAAATTCAGCAAATTGGCGGTATCCGATTTATGGCCTAAGAAGAAATAACACACAAACACATATATAGAAAGTGAGAGAAAGAGATGAAACAAAAGAAAAAGTTTGGGTCCCGATGGTAATCAAACTGCGATATCAAACTTTGTGTTGTTGGCAGCCCTTTCATTCTCCGCAGGATTACTACTGCCCTTCTTTTGTTTTCGATTCGTTAAGCCGTCTGTCACCTCGATGGGAGGTGGAGTTGGAGGTGGAGGAGGCAGAGGAGGTCAAGGAAACGTTCCATATCCTAGGTCCTAACCTCACTCCATCTGAAAGATGCAGTTCGGTTGAAAGGAAACCAGCGGAAATTTCCAAGTGAAAAATCGAAAACACGGATTTTCACTTTCAAACGCGCACTCTATATTCTCTCTCTCTTCGACGTTCATTTCAATAAATCATCCATTTATATTCCGAATCGCCGACGTACCGGTACGTCCGCAAATAAATTACCATACGACATGCGACACTCAAACTACTGAAATGTCATTTACATGAGAAACGTCATTTATATTGACATTTATATTTTACACTAATTCACGTCATTTTCTGACGTTTGCTTTGAATATTCAAACAGGGAGAGAGATTAATTGGGTATTTAATTATTTATTCCCTTTTTGGCAATTATACAGCCCCCCGCCCTACAGTGATCGTGAGAGAATCCAAATTGGAATTGCCTTTTTTTTCTGTTTCTGCTTTTGTTTTTTTTTTCTGGTTTCGTAGATTTACGACCATCACAAATCAAGGAGAGAGAGAGAGAGAGAGAGAGAGAGAGAGAGAACGTTCCACCCCCGGAAATTATCGCCCTCGCATCCTTCCGTGATTCTTTTTTTTCTGGTTTTGATTCGATCCGTTTGAAATTAATGCATAATATAAACATTTGACGTTCAAATGTAGAAAACTAATTCGATGACAGCTTTGACAATTTAAATGTCAGGATCATTAAGAAACAACAAAAAAGGTAAACAAACTGCTCTGCTTCTCATTGCTATAGTGATGATGATGATGATCATTTTATTTTGTGTCGCCGCCTGAAAATTCGGGTCGGATCGTCGGCTTCGTATGCAAATGCGCGTTTCGCAGTGTCTTTTATAATTTGATTTTAGTAGTGCAAATGCGTGTCTAACTACATGGTCTAGCGGCAAGCCAATGCATATTGATGCGTTCATCTACTTTCATTTCAGGTTTGATTACACTCGAGTAGTACAAAAGAATAGAGAGAAGCGAAGGGATGTATAAAAGTGGGCGAACAGCAACAACAAAAAAAAGAAAGAAGAGTGATATAACTCGGATGTAGTTTGGTAAAATCGAGTGGGCCGGGGGAGAACGAAAGAGGGATTGCGTTCTTTTTTTTTCTTCTTTATCTTTGGAGAATCCGTTTGAGCGACACCTGTTGATCATCAACATCCTCTCGGAATAGAGGGAGGGAGGAATGAGAAATGCGAATTTACAAATCGAGTCGACGCATCGTTTCATTCCTGAAACTTAAATTGAAGTTTAACTTATGGAAATTACAATTCCCGATTTCTCTCTGCATATCTCGAAGTTAATTATCTTTTTTTTTCTGTGGTATGGGGATGGACAAACAGGCAGAGAGATAGAGTCCAGTACAAAAGTACAAAACTTTTTATTAACTTCCCCAAATTCTCAGAGCGAGAGAGGATCGAGAAAACTTTACGAACGGATTTAATTTCCTTCTCTTTTTTTTTCACCCCCCACATCTCTCCACTCCAGTTACGCACAGCAGAAGCAACAAAAAAAAAAAGGAGCAAAAGAGAGCTTAAGACAGGGAGGAGGAGTAGGCGAAATGCGAGTGGTTTAATTCCATCGGACTTCTTTTTCCGTTTTCCGCTTCGCAACAACAAAAAAAGGAAGCAAATACATATTTCGGACAACTTTCGGTCGTAAAATTTAATTCCGACCGGCAGGGTCGTAAATCGGAACTTCAATTACTTCTATTGCCAAAGTTTACAACAAAATTTTATTATTTTTTTTTGTCCATAACTTCTCTACATTAACATACACGTACGTATAATTTATATACGGTTACCATAGTTACCACCCCGTCAAATTTCATCCAAATGATATACAAGCTGCAATCAATAATCAAGTTATTTCATTCGATTTAAAGTGACAGTTGCAAAGTTTGCAGCGCGGATAAATAATAATTAGTGAATTCGCGCTTGAAGCAAAACCTGATTTTGCATCTTAGATTATGTAATTGACAGGTGTCAGAAATTCTGATAACCTAATTTGCTGGGTGCATCGGATGACAGTTATAAATGTAATTGACAGGTGACGTTAATTGCGATGACAATTTGCAATCAATTGACGTTATCAAAGTTTAACCTTATTTTTCTTTGATTTTGACTAATCGTGAAGCAAGAATAGAAAGTAGTGTCCATTACATTGTATCAAAAACGTTTGAATATGTTTAGAAATTTGAAAAAAAAAAGAATAACTGGTTAGGATTAATCAAAATTATTCAAATTTTATAAAATGTATATAAGGTTTACGTTGAAGAGAATGACTAAGAAAATAAAATACAAACGTTTTGTTTGTTGGTAATTGGAAATTTGCATGCGTTTCGGTTTAGCGGAAACAGCAACGATCCGAGTGAAAGTTTTCTATCGCGATGTTATCTATCAACAAAACATTCGATACATTTTACATTTAGGTTAATCAATTCCGACTACGTACACCAGCATTTTATTGTTCATAACCTAATTGCAAATTTAGCATATATTTCGGACAATAGTCGGAAACAAACTTTATCAAATCGAAAACATGATGTAATAATTGTAAATTTACTATTGTTGAAATATCAATTTCCGAAAAGTTTTGACAACTTTTCAAACTCGTTTTTTTTATTCTTAAATTCGCATTAGTAAAAGTTGATTCGATCTTCACTTACCAACATAATTAGTGATTGAGGTAGCTGCGGCGGCGGGGGAGACGTCTTCCTGCGATTCCTCGAAATAGTTTACTCATCTATCGTAGACAGATGTTGCGAACTTTGAACAGGTAAAAACATCGTCGTCGAAGTGTGCGCATTCGTTATTAACCCACTTTCATCGGGTCTAATATAATTGTCTTTCGATTAATATACGGGTCCGCGGCACTGTTCAACAGGGGACACGCGATTCGTACGTGCGCGGCATACGCGATCTGTAATACTATTCGTTCCTTCTTCCCCCAGCTGAAGAAGTGGCGACGCTTGAAGACGTCGACGTCGACCTGAGCGCGCGCCGTCCGTGCAGCGACTGAACGAACGCACGACGACGTCGCGACGTCCGTCAACAACGAAACAACAGTAAACCGCGCAACGCATTTGTTTCTCTCTCTCCCACCTAAAGCACAAATTTGCATTCGACGATCGTAGATACACATGAAACAAAAAACAAATAAATTATTAGAAACAATTCAACTTAAGTAATAATTCTCTTTCAATTACAATCCATGTAATTAACAATTTCGTATTCTCTTTAAAAAACGAACTTTAAATAGTGCAAGTTTAATTGTACATTTACAATATACATATTTAATGGCAATTGATGTTCTTTTTTTTAAGTTGGCTGTGTGTGTGTGTTTGCAAGATATTTCATAACGTCGTTCTTTTTCTTTTTCTTTTCCTTTTTTTAAATATTCGTTTCGTGAATCGTGTTCGGATCGCGCTCAGTTTTCAGTGAACCGTGTAACCGCGATTCTCACATGATTGAATTCTCTTCGTAGGTGCAAAGGTTAGTGCCCAGTTCAGTTCAAACCCCCCGCCCAAACCCTTGCACATGGAAGATTGAGCATCACAGAACGCCGAAGATAAACGGGGAGCAGAGCAGGCAGAACCGCATACACAATGTATGCATCATAAACTTGTGCTTACGATTCAAAAAATATTACATTCCTTTCTAAGAAAAAAACGTAATTATTAATAATGTATCAAAATATATTGAAAGCTTAGAGATTTAGTGCGAACATTTACAGCCAACTTATAATTATTTTACAACATTAAACGAAGATTATGCAACACGAATATATAAATTGTATCTATACAAAAAAAAAAACTTAATTTAAACTATACAACCAAATGTACGCGCATTATTTAAAACATTATAAGACTTCGGATTGATTTAATTTTAATCCCATAGATAAACCAGCGTATGGCAAATCTAGTGGATCAAAACGAGATCCGCCACATTTTCTGTATTAAAACAGGTGCAACCTCGTGAAGATGAATGTGTACGATCTTGCATCAATTTAGAGGCTATGTGTTGCGCTTGAATTGATACCTGGTTATCATCTTCGAAAGAAGTTGATATACCTTTAACTAGCACCTGGACATGCGGCCACGTGGAAGCCGCTGCTCTCATTCACAGCAAATGAGAGCAAGCGCGCGACCGCACACCCGGGAGGAAAATAAGGAAAGTTTAGGATATAAGGAAATGCTATGATCTGGGTACCTGGAAGGGAACGTAACGATTAGTGACATGACATGCAATAAAATTAAATCAATCCTGAAACAGAAGAACACAAAGACATGACATACACCCGACCCAAAACATGAACGAATTACAAGTTTACACAATCTATAAGATCGTATTGAAAAATACGATACACATTTATAATTACAATAAAAATAAAATTGCATTGCACATTGAACATCATTATAATATTTAACAGGAGAGGAATAAATGGAACGTCCATTTTCTCTCATCTTTTTTATTTTTTCATTCTTTTGTTTTATAAATATTATATAGTTATTAATCCATATTTTATTTATTATTTTTTTAAATATTTTTTTGTATGTATCTATTTCTCTCTCATCTTTTATATTTTTTAATTCTTTTGTTATATATCTTTTTTATTATTGTTATTTTTTTGTTTATATTTTTTTTAATTATTATAGTTATTAATCCATATTTTTTTTATGTACCTATTTGTTTATACATAATATTTTTATATAATATGTTTTTCTTGTTATTTTCTTTATTATTTTTTCTATATTATGAATGTGTAATATGCAATGCATTACA